CCACAGAGATACACAGAGACCCATATAGACCCACAGAGACACATATAGACCTATAGAGACCCATATAGACTCACAGAGACCCATATAGACCCACAGACAGAGGTGTGGACTCGAGTCATGTGACTTGGACTCGAGTCAGACTCGAGTCATGAATTTGATGACTTCAGACTCGACTTGGACTTGCATAACAATGACTTTGTCCCACCTCTGCCCACAGAGACCCATATAGACCCACAGAGACACATAGACACACACACATAGAGACCCATAGAGACCCATATAGACTCACAGAGACCCATATAGACCCACAGAGACCCATATAGACCCACAGAGACACATAGACACACACACATAGAGACCCATAGAGACCCACAGAGATACACAGATACCCACAGAGATACATAGAGACACATAGAGATACATAGACACCCATAGAGACACATAGATATTGCCGAACTATCAACACAGACGGTTCGTTTCACCTCCATGCGGCGTACGGCCGTTTAAATGCGGACAACACAAATATAATAAAAAATGTCTATTTGTGTTTCTCTCCTCGTGATGATGGCACTTTGTAGGACTAACGTTGCTATTTCTAAGGGTTACGGGGTGACCAGCGAGGTTTGAATGTGTCTGTAGTAAGCCGGGGCACTGATAAGGGCTTGACAGGGATGGGATTCCAATTGATTTTCTTTAAAAAACGAAAACGCCACCACCGCCACCACATCGCTCACCAAATACGCGACTCGATGAAACTCGTGATTATTATAACCGCACACGAATGCGCGGCAAATCACAAAATTAACAACAATAATTATAACGACGACGACGACGATACTACTGCTACTACTGCTGCTACACGTCTTACAGAGCCCACTCACCATCACGGAAGTCAATTGTAGACCCCAAACAATCGTACTAACGACGACGACGACGATGTTGACGATGATAACGATGAAGACCCTTTGTCGACTGTGTTGATTTAAACCTCGGGGCCGATTCAAAATTTGAAATAAAACCCAAAAAAATGACTTCAACACGATCAGGAAGCGAATCGCGCTCAACAAACACAACTCACCCCCTTTTACATTTCGTAGTGCGCACAAGCGCCCGCGCAGGTAAACGCGCCTCTCCCATTGGCTCCCGGCGGTGCGCGTGACCCGCTTATGCGATGTGCGAATTGCAATGGGACTGGGGCAATGCTCTTGCGTGTGTGACCGCCGTCTCGTTCGCGTGGTGAGAATTTGGAATTGATCTGTGATGAACACATTGTCCTGTGGAGGAAGCTGGTAGGAACGTTGGGTTGCTCGGTCAATGGCCTGCAGGGTCAACGGCGGCGTGGTGTATTCCGCAAATATGGCCGACTGTGAGGGCGGGCACAAGCCGGCGTGAGTAGGTTCAACGTTGAGTTTTATAAGGGCACCACGGGGTGACCAGCCCCTCCCCACCCAGCCCCACCCTCCCCATCCAGCCCCTCCCCACCCTCCCTCCCCACCCAGCCCCTCCCCACCCCTCCCCTCTCCACCCAGCCCACCCCTCCCATTTTTGGATCCACGACGGACGGACACAATAATCCCCTGTGGGCTGGTGTAACCAGTAGGTTCCTACCGGTATTATTATTGACCGTGAACAATTAGAGCCAAGCCAAAACATAACATATAAAAAATAATGTTTTAAAATATATATTTTAATGATAGAATATAGTATTGTCATCAGTATGACATAAGTATACCAAGTTTGCAGTCGATTCGACATTGGGAAGTGGGTTAAAATTCAGTTAAATTTTTGAGGATACGACAACAACAACAGACAGAGTGAGTTAAATGAAAGCGTGTGGGAGGGGTGGGGCTGGGTGGGGAGGGGCTGGGTGGGGACGGGAGGGTGGGGAGGGGCTGGGTGGGTAGGGAGGGGCTGGGTGGGGAGGGGCTGGGTAGGGAGGGGCTGGGTGGGGAGGGGCTGGTCACCCCGTGGTGCTCTTATAAAACTCAACGTTTAACCTACTCACGCCGGCTTGTGCCCGCCCTCACAGTCGGGGATTTTTGCGGAATACACCACGCCGCCGTTGACCCTGGCCATTGACCGAGCAACCCAACGTTTCTACCAACTCCCTCCGCAGGAAAGTGTTCGTGACTGCAGGGATCCATACTCTTTGGTTATTTCGGTAAAGTCACGTAGGTAAAGATATGTTATACCTTTGTGTGTGCTGTGTGTGCTGTGTGTGCTGTTGGGCCAAAATAATGATTCTGTGTGTGGGACACCCACCCCCTCGTGTGCCGTGCCGGCCTTAATAGGTGATCGCTAACAGCACTTGCCCCGGCAGTTTGGTAAAGTCCATACGGGGGATCTTTGTCTTTGTGTCGGGATAAACTCGTGATTTTCGTTCGTGGACCACACAGAAGCGAGTTTTGCTCGTATTCCAGTAGAGGGAGCCAGTGTATTGCAATTAATATAACACTCGTACCTAATTCTAGATGTGAAGCTTTCGTGACCGCAAGGATTCATACTCTTAGGTTTTTCGGTAAAGTCACGTAGGTAAAAAGAAAAAAAGAATAGAAATAAAATAATAAATCACGACGTTTCGGAGGCAACACGAGTCTCCGTCATCAGGTGCGACCGTCACAGCTGAATTTACTGTCTCAACCTACTCGTGTACGTTCACCTCGCACTGGTGTACATTCCATATTACTCTGACGGGGACGAGTGAGTCAATAGTATAGATACAGACGAATGTACACATACACACGGGCAGCCTAAGAGCATTTCCAGGGTCCGCGCCTGAGAAGTACGTCCGCTGATGAGAGATCGAGCAATGAAATCACGAATCGTGGGAATGTCGACGGTTTGGGGGAGGCCTTCATCCAGCAGTGGATTGATCGTGGCTGGTGTTAACGATTACAGACTCGTTGTGCGTGACAAATAATTTTCGTGAACATTTTTTTCCAAAATGTTACACTTTTTTAGGAATTTTTTAAAAAATATTTAATTACCAATTGCTTAATGGTGGCAGGCAATCATCTGACCCATAGGTGGCAGCCATCTCAAGCCAGAGGACGAGAGGACTCTAGCCGCCACGCATATAAAGGATTTATAGTGAAAAACTTTGTTTTTACGGGTTAATTTTTTTTCTGCAATATTTTGCTGTCTTTTCTTGGATTTTCTGTTTGCACTTAGTCACATATTCACTCCAAGATGTTTTCTTGTTCATGTTTTAGTTTTTTGTTTGTTGCGGTTGCACCCGATTCAAGAGCCGAATGGCTCACAGGGCTACACCTAATAATTTAATACGTAGGCTTTCGCGACCAATATTATTCATAATCAAGGTTATTGGGTCAGATCGCGTTATTTATAAATGTGTCGTAACCCTCCACTACCCGACACGGCCAAACAGTAAAAAATGTGTCACGTTTTCAAAGGACAAAATAATTGACTTCTTTAGCCCACCGGTGTGCTGAAGAGAGAATCAACAGCATTTTAAAATTTAACTAGTCCGACGTTTCGCTGATAATTACAATCAGCTTCATCGGGCAAGAATGGTGAAGCTCTCCTGTTGCTTCCGTTCTTAAATAGAGCAGCATCAGGGTGACGTCATCATTTAATTCAATCTGCTGCAGTGATTCGAGGCAAGGAGGGGGTATTGTAATTATATAGATTGGTAATCATTCAATTGTTATTCATTGGTATTTGTTTCCCTTATAAGGAATTGAAATTGTATTTACCTAATACATGAACTTGAAACTTGAACTTGATCTGAGACCCACAGACATGACCAAGCGCTCGCCGTTTGTTGCAGACGTTCACGGTTCAAATCCCCCGGCCGCCCGAGTTAAATACCCCCTACCGACGTAGTTCGCAAGCGAAGCCACCGGGTGGCAGTGCCATAATGTAACACATTTTAAAATGACTAAATAACACAAATGTACTCAATTTGGAGTATACATAGCAATCATCTGTCTCTTCCTGGATTTTCTGTTTGCACTTAGTCACATATTCACCTTCTTGCTTCTTTCGGTAAAGTCACGTAGAATGAAAATAATAAAATAATAAAAATAAAACATAATAAAATAATTCTCACGACGTTTCGGCCACAACGCAAGCAGCCGTCCTCAGGTGAAGAAAAGGTCTGTCGAGAAGACAGAGTTCAGACTCTTAGGTTTTTCGACTGTCTTCTCGACAGACCTGTTCTCCACCTGAGGACGGCTGCTTGCGTTGTGGCCGAAACGTCGTAAGAATTATTTTATCATATTTTATTTTTATTATTTTATTATTTATTATTTCCATTCTACGTGACTTTACCGAAAGAACCAAGAAGATGAATCCCTGCAGTCACGAAAGCTTTAAATCGAAAAAAATCACATTCACTTTAAGATGTTTTCTTGTTCATGCTTTTGTTTTTTGTTTGTTGCGGTTGCACCCGATTCAAGAGCCGAATGGCTCACAGGGCTACACCAAATACATGAACTTGAAACTTGAACTTGAACCTCCGATGAACACGGTTGGCTACGTACGGTGCGAAAGAAATTCAACGTCCGTACACAGCAGACGAGAGCCCGCTTAGTCCTTGGGTGATCAACCAATGTGCATAGCTGGGGTTACAGGCGGCTCGCGGGTCTGCGTTGTGATATACGGTAGCGATAAATAATCTGCTCCACGCCTTCACCAATCCGCACTGGCCAAAGTGGTGAAGTATGGTCAAATAGAGGCCCTCACTCAACAGCGGATTTGACAAAACAAACACCACCCATAGCCAGCTACTGTCCCGGCTCAATCGGGTGAACTCCGGGGTGGTCAGAAGGCCCCATCCTTAAACCGTCGTACATCTTTACTTAGACTGAAGGAAATCCGAAGAGCTATGAAGCTCTTCTTGACACGCGCCCAATGTTGGGCGGGTCGGCAAAAATTCAGAGCGCTAACACCCCTGGGGAGACAAAGGCGGCCCGGAGTGGTTCTGACCACACCAACACCATCATAGGCGTGCCGTTCCGCTCGTAATAGGTGCTCGCTAACTACACTTGCCCCAACAGTCTGTGAAGGCTATGGGGAGGGGGGGGATGTTTGTCTTTGTGTGCGAGAGCGGTGGTGCAGCGGTTCGCGCACGGCGATACAAACCCGGCGTGCCCCGAGTTCGATTCCCGCTCACGGCCAACATCGGTGACGATTATCTGAACCGGTCCTGGGCCTCCTCTTCTAGATCGACTCAGCCTCAAATGAGTACCCGGTATGCGATGTGTAATCATCGCAGACAAAAGCGGTCGGGCGTAGTGCTGGCCACCCACCCCCTCGTGTGTCGTGGCCGCATTCATAGGTGCTGCTCGCTAACAGCACTTGCCCCAACAGTCTGTGCAGCCTATACGGGGGATCTGTTTCTTTGTTGTGTGTGTGAGAGAGAGAGAGTCCTTGAGTGCATGCGTATCTGTGTGTGTGTGATTGATTGCTTGTGTATGTGTGTGCTTTTGTAAGTGCTTGAGAGTGAGTGCGCCTTCCTGTGCAATTTGCTGTGTGTTTTGTAGCGGTTCGCGTTACACACACGCACACACACAGCCACTAAACGCTACGAACCCGGCAACCTGAGTTCGATTCCCGCTCACTGCCACCAAACACCAAGTGGCGATTATCTCTAGAACCGGTCCTGGGCCTCCAGCTTCAAGCGATGACCGTGCCCGATGCGGTGCACGATGTTTGTCTGTTGAATTTCTTTCGCGCCGTACACGTAAGCCAGCCGTGCTGATCGCCGCGAGGGAGACAAAGGCGGCCGGGCGTGGTGCTTGCGCTCTGCAGAGCCATCCCTTCGCGAACAGCACTTGCCCCTAACATCCCGTGTAGGCTACACGGGGGAGGGGGGCACTTTGTCTTTGTGCCTTGGCCAGAGGTCGCAATCGGGTACCCGATACCCGTACCCTACCCGATACCCGGGTACCCGTTTGCGACCCTGGTGCGGCCGGGTACGGGTAAGGGTAAGGAATCAAAACCCTTAATTTTAGAACTTTCGTGACTGCAGTAAATGATTATTTGGTTCTTTCGGTTAAGTCACGTCTAAAGATAAAATAATAAATTAAATTAAATAATAGCATACGACGTTTCGATTG